TAGTGGACCAATTTCACACCAAGGTCTGCCATATCGATCAAGACTATACATGCTCGCATCTAGTTTGCTATTTCAAACGGGAATGTGTACGTACTGTGTGTACAGGTACATTCAGCACTCAAGGCAATGCGTAGGACTACAATGCACTGCATTAATTGAATTCAGAGTGAAAAAGCCGTTGCAAGAAGTAACATCCTCCTGAATACTCTCGTTTTCTCCTGCAAATTTACAGTATGGGTAAGTCCTAGAATGACCTAATTTATTTACGAAAAGTACATAAATCTATAGTTACTGTTTTTTATTCTGAAAAGTTGATATGTAGACTCTTTGTTACTGTAATGCATGATCTTATGTCAGTGATAGTGAGCTCGGACTTTCAACATTTGCTGACAAGATTCGAAATGTATGATCCCATATATGTATTTTTATGTAGGGTCTTGATTGATGGGATGCATGGCATGAGGCATCATTTAAAGCAAAAAAGTTTACTCATTTGCCTACACATGGGCTGCATGGCTTTAAAGGGAAATCTAACTCGAATATACAACTGCTCTAAAACTGAAAGAAAGCAGAAAAATAAGAGAAGCAAACTGATGAAAGTTTTGGCACTAGATCTAGGTCTACTGCTAAGTCACACCTAAGATGGATAATACATGCAGTCACGCATGACACAGTGTGAGAGTGTCTACTTTATTCCAAGCAATACTGTAGATCTACTACTAGTTCAGAATCATATCCAGACTTTTTGACCAGTGACCCATGGCGTGGCCGGTGAGAGTCCTAAAAATCTAAAACATAGGTCTAGATCGGCCTACCCCAAATCAAGCAAATATTCATGAAATGTTCAAATAATGCCGGTCATGATTTAAAAGTCGTTATGTTTCTAACCTGTTTCTGGTCAATTTTTCTTATTTTGGGGGGAGTATTTTTCGGGAAAAACGTTGATTGTAGTATACACTTTCTGACAGGTTGCACGGCAAACCGCTGCACAATACAAGTGCATACAGATGGAGGGTTGCGGGGGCACGTAAGTCTGCGTGAAGTGATCTACCTCCTCATTGTACGGTAGATAACTTTACACAGGCGTGCACCCGCCCGCAACCACCATCGGTATGCACTTGTATGTGAGAAAGTGTACTATAGTACCGGCCCAGGCCCAGATGTCTGAAAATTGAACATTGCGTGTCGATACGTAGAGGAATAAAGCAGTGACTTGTGTCACAAACGTGTAACCTTAAACAATTTGTTTCTACAGTCTTTAGACAGCAAATTTAGCTTGTAGGCTACCGTATACAGAAATCTTATCTGGAAATAATCGGTTAGACCTGTAAATGGTAAACAAAATTCTTTCCCCTCAAAGAAGCTTGTAGTATTTGTGTTGCACATGCATACATTATCAACCTTTCATTTTGTTTTAACTTTATTCATTTTCTCATTTATTTGTAGGCATCTTTTTTTAACATCTTTCGTCAAAGAAGTGGATTCAAAGCACATTGTGGCCTCAGTATATTGACGTGAAACCATGCAGAAAATGCTACTTTCTCTCAACCTTGTGGATGTTCCCTACTTCCCTAAGGATCAGCAGCCTCTTGAAACAGGTGAAGCCATTATCGGTAAATGTGTACATGTACTTGTATTATTTCTGTACATTTATTTGTCATATTGTGCATGATCACTGAGACACTGACGAATTAGACACTACATAATGGTTCATTTCATTTGAAAGGCTTATTTCAGTTATTTGTCCTAAGTTTCAAATATATTTATAATTCAATTAATTTTAGATCACTAAAACCTGCAGGTATGTTGCAATAACCGACAATATTATGTGAGTTTCAAACAGTGTTTTTTTACCCTTCAGCATAGGTCAAGGAGCTTTCATTCTACCCTCATCAGCAAACTACAGGAATGCCAGTTTTCAGGCAATAGCCTGAATTCAGGCCCTGAGGAGTTATTTTCATACCATAGTTTAGGTTTTTTTGTGTACAAGCTAGCTCATTCTAGGTGATTTTTCAGGTCCTCTGATCAATTCTAACTGGCATCCCTGAAACTAGAATTGTATTGATAATTAACCAAACAAAATCCTGAATCACGTTTTGCATTGCCCACAAATGTTTAAAACCCAAAGGTGTGTTGACTTTATGTTTGTGAGCAATAAGAAATTTTTTCTGATAAATCTTACCAAGCAGTACTTTTCTGACAGAATTAATTATTTACGTTCCAGTTTTAAAATATATGAAAGTTTTTCTTAAATTGTATTCCTTTCTTTTTGCTTTATTCATGCATTAGAATTCCTTGCGTCTATGTTCCTTGGATCTGAAAACAGTGCATAATGCAGGAGATTCCACCCAAAAGCTAAACCACAAGTCCAAGCTGAAGTGGAATATTTCGCAAAATTTGATCTACACTCACCCGATAGCTTTACTGCTAGAGAAAGGTTATTTTTTCACTTCATTATACTTTATAGAGAGAGATTGGGGGAGGGGGAGGGGGAGGGGTGAGGTGTCGCCACAAACCTGAATGGATAAGCTGTAGAACTGAAATTTCCAGTCATGTTACTTGCAATTTTAATGAATTACAGGATTTACGAACTGACATAATAACGATTTGGGTAAAAGTCTAAAAGATTCCAGTATTTTGAGTATATTTGTAATTACTATTCATGAAGTTGACCTGTTTCATAATGTCTCATGCTCACCCCCCCCCCTCCCCCACCCCATCCACTTCATATCAGTTCTTAAAACATGTTGCAAATTATATATACATTGTAAGTTGGTAATAGAGAAAAATTGAGTGAGGTAAATGCAATACAAATCGAATCCATTATTAAGCAATTAAGACTTGTACAGGTACGGCACGTGAACCTCCAACAAATTTCAAAAATGATGCAGTTTGGTTTTATGTGTAAAGTGAATGGCAACAAAGGACCTACCGGTGCGTGTCTTTGTATGTTTTGGACTGCGCATATTCAGTGAGCTCTTTTTAATAATATACACTGTGTAAAGCGTATTGAACTCTATGTCAGCATTTAAAAAACTCTGCGATTTTGACTGTTTTGCAGCATCATATCTGAGCGAGCCTTAACGGGACTTGGTAAAATTGTTCAGATGAGAGACAATTGTGCTAAGGTATTGACTTCAATGCTATATGTACACTTAAAGATAATCTGAAAGTTTGAGTGAAAAAAGACCATTATTGATGATAAAAATTGGGAACAACTGATCTGATCGATTCCTTAATTCTTCCAACTATATTATTATAATTTAATTAAATTTTAGGTGAATGTAAATCATCACAAAGAAAAGAATTGGCTCTAATACCTTAGATTTTTAAAGGCCTGTTTTATATCTTATTTTCATGGAAAAACGGTTGGGGGAAAATTCAAAAATTTATTGGGAGAATGAAGTGTTAAAGAGTGACACACAGTGGCGCCTTCAAAGAAAACCAAAAATATCTTTGTGGTTTGAGAATTTTTTGGTAGTTAAAAGTATAAAATTCTTGGATTGTATCTGTGATTTTGAGAGCACTATATGGCTTACCTTTATTGAATTCGCTGTTAAAATTTAAGTTAAATTAATAGTTTGTGAAACTCCCCCAGGAGTTTCAAACGTGCCAAATGAATGTTGTGACATTAGCAATAGAATGTATCTCTTTGTGCTAAACTTGTTCAGCATGTTTGCTATTTTATCTTAAACTTGGAAATATCTTCTGAATAATTATTGCACAGTCACCTTGGAATTGCCCAACAAAGCCACTCGTACTGGCGGGAATGTTATCTGATAAAAATTGTATTTTTATACTTGAACTTCAGCTTCTGTATTTGCAACAATTTTTTTTTGGATGATATTTATAAAATATGAATGTTGCCACTAATGCCTTTTCTTGTATTTAAGTCATGTGCCAGTAAGAAGCAGGTTTCTAGCACAGAAAATAGGTACAGTTGAGCTGATATCTGCACAGTTTTCTAATATGCTGTATCGCCAAATGTGAACATCGTGGTTTCAACGGGCAAGCAACCATCATCAGAAAACTCTGCAGGTATCAGTGAAGCTGTCCCTGTTCCCCTTGCTGCCAACTTGTTCCTTTTGAGTGTAAGAAATAACTTAGCTAAGCCATGTGTTTATCATTTGTGCCATTTTTCTCTTGTGTGTGATTTAGATTGTATAGTTTTATACTTTATACTGAATTCTTGCCATAAACTTAGATATTCCCCTTGTATGTAACAAGTATTGATCTTTTAAGCTCAGGAATTGTTTCCAACAACCTTTTGTTTTATGTTATAGTCTTTATCTGCATTAAAGTATTGGGGTTGTGGGGAGCAGTGTTGCAGCATGGAGAAGAAATAGAGCTGCACTGATGAATGCCCAGCTTTCCATTATGCTGTTTTGCTGAATATGAGGAACTTCCCCAGTCTGATGTTTTCTTGTCTACTAAACAACTGCGGGTATCAGTGTAGCTTTACCTAGTCTCTATGCTGCTAACCTGCTTCTCACAACCCCAAGACTTATAAGTTAAGCCAATATATATCATAGTTTCTTGTAACTGAATTAAATTTGAAATGAAATAGCACAATTTATAACGAAACAAATATCTTTGTGATGGCCTGTTAACTTTCTTAAAATCAATTATGAGACTGACAGAACTACACTAGGTATTTATACAGCATGTTTTGGAAGAAGTTTCAGGATGGTGATGGAAAGATTTTGTATTTATAGAAGACAAGTTAGATAGAAGAAGGTATAAACATAAGTATTCTATATTTTTATTATCCATTTGCATACCATATAAATGAACATTAAAAATATGAAAATTACTTTCTGTCTGGCATGTGTATATATTATGTGATGCAATATTTGTTGCTCTATTTTTACTGTGTGAATGTTCAGAATGTATTAATGAAGTGACTTTTACACTTTCTTCCTTCATCAGGTGGTCATATAGATGTCATTTAGAGGACAAAAAAGACGTAAAGATCATGTAAGGATAAAAGGTACATCGAAATGACCAGTAAGATGTAAATATCACGTCAAAATTTGATGTCCATACAACGTATACACGACGTCTGTAGGACGTCTTTCTTGGGTAAAAGTTGACGTCTTAAAGACGTCTTTCTTGGACCAATAAGACCAGAAAAAAATATGACTTCCATACGACGTCTTCCATGGTACAAGTTGACGTCTTAAAGATGTCTTTCTTTGACTAATAAGACGTTAAAATCACGACAAAATATGACGTCCATACGACGTCTTTCTATGGCACAAGTTGACGTCTTAAAGACGTCTTTCTTTAACTTATAAGACGTAAAAATCACGTCAAAATATGACGTCCTCACGACGACGTACGCGGGTGCAAGTTTACGTCTTTTTGACGTAAAGTTATGTCGTCTTAAAGACGTCTTTCTTTAACTAAAAGACGTAAATATGACGTTCATATGACGTCTTCCTATGGTACAAGTTGACGTCTTAAAGACGTCTTTCTTTGACTAGTAAGACGTAAATATGACGTCAAAATATGACGTCCTCATGACGACGTGCGCGGGTGCAAAATCATGTCTTTTTGACGTCGTGTTATGTCGTCTTAAAGACGTCTTTCTTTAACTAAAAGACGTAAATATGACGTTCATATGACGTCTTCCTATGGTACAAGTTGACGTCTTAAAGACGTCTTTCTTTGACCAGTAAGACGTAAATATGACGTCCATACGACGTCTTCCTAAGGTACAAGTTGACGTCTTAAAGACGTCTTTCTTTGACCAATAAGACGTAAAAATCACGTCAAAATATGACGTCCTCATGACGACGTGCGCGGGTGCAAAATCATGTCTTTTTGACGTCGTGTTATGTCGTCTTAAAGACGTAGTACAAGACGTAAATATGACGTGATATTTACCAGTCTCTGCTATCAGGGTAGAGATACCTCATGGATATTCAACATTACATCCGTAGACACACGACCGATGACTATCCACTCACATTAAGTTGCGTATTAAATGCACCATGCACAGGGTCGGGATTACCCGAGTAAAGCATCTTTCTACAGGATATCCTTTATAGTAGCGCTGCAAAAGCCAGAGACATACACGGGGCTTCCCGTCCACGTCAAAACTTAGAGACATATTTCCATCATGATTGCCGCGATTTGTATATTTTCGTGAATGGAGGTATGAAATCAAAGCTTATTTTGTGATTATTACGGCCATGCTTAATGAATTTTGATTGTCATTTTCTAAAGGAAAGTTTTCACAAGAAAACCATTGGACTGACAGTTCAGTCGCAAGCTGCCTTCAGTCTACACACACATACATACAGTACACACAGTGCTGCTGCGCTGTGTCGGCCGTGGGTAGCGTACGAAGGTGCGAAGTAACGCTAGGCTAGCGGCCTCATGAATAAACATGAGTACTTTGGCTGAGTGAGGTAGAGTCGAAGAGTATGGGGGGCCAAGCAGGCCAATAATCGTACAACTATACAATTACACATACGTCTATCCATCCGTCGAAAAACCCGTCGACACAACAGCGTGCGGGCCGAAGTGCCATAATTTTGTACACCTATACAGCTATAAAACTATACGACTCTACGTCTACTCAGCCATCGGAGACTAATATTGTCTTATATCTACAGTAAATTAAAAGAAAAATTAAACAAGGTTATAAATTGTATATTTACATATTAATAGTTCAATATCAACCAGACAGAAGTATGTGACTTCATGCATTGCAAAACATTCAGTTGCGTAATGAGTAAAATCGTTTTTTTTTTTGGGGGGGGGGGGTGTGCTGAAAAAAATCTGCATCACCATGCACCATTCTTACATGTTACATGCAGACTCCAAGAAACGTTTTTCAAAGTGTGGGGGGATCAGTTAGATCGCAGCGAGTTGAGTGTTTATAGGTGTGGGGTCCACGGGTTTCAAGGGGCCATAAACCCCCAAAAGCTCACGGGTTTTAGGCATTTAATTAGGGTCAGATGAGCACATTTTTAATAATTTATTTGTGACACAATTGGCGTGGTGTCCATACTTAGATTTGCGTAGTGCTACGTACCAACTACGCTGGCCTACGTTACTACATGCTGATGGACGCAAACAATTCAACATGTTTAATTTTTTTCCGCGTACTTTCGGCGAGACTTGACGCAGAAAGTACGCCTTTTCACGCAACACTACGCTACTGTACGCTACCCTACGCTTGATCGACAAAGCAGTAAAAGCTTTCCACACAGTAAGCAACCGTAAGCAACCATAAGCAAACATGTACACTAGCCTATGCATAACCTACGCAGGGACTACAGTGAAGCAACATTTTTCCATTAATACGCAGCCTAATTTCTGCGTAGTCGGTACGCCACACTACGCAACTCTACGCAGATCCAGTGTGAAAGAGGCTTAAAGAATTACTCCCGGTAGAGTTGGATCGTTGTTTTTTTTTGATAAATGGCAAATAAAGTTCTTGATTGTTTTAATTTAGAGTGTCTCTATCATGGGCGTCAATCCTTACGTAATACCTATTGTTCAGGGGGGATGAATGATCATCCCCCCTGAACATTACGTAAGGATTGACGCCCATGGTCTCTATAAATCTATTTACACCCCCGCCCCCCTCTAGAATCCCGCGGATTTTCGCGGGTCCTGCTAGTGATCATATAATTAAATGACAAACATATGAGACTTAAATATAAAATTAACAATTTAATGACTAAGGTAGATCCTTAATTCCACGTGAACGGTGAATGTAAACATTCGTTAATTTAAGGACATTTTCTCTTCTCTCTGCAGTTGATTGTTCTGCTGCCAATACATGTATGAACGAAGGTACTTGTAATGATGCTGGCAATGCATGTCTATGTGAGGCGGGATTTACTGGAGAGTTGTGTGGTACAGGTATGAAAATATATTGTAACATCAGGATTTAACGTCAAGAAATCCCCCCCCCCTTCCTGAAAATGGAGTTTGGGGAAAGCCTACCTAAAAAAAACCTACCTGTCATTATTTAAAATGTCAGTTTTTACCGAATTTTCCTGTTATTCTCTTTTTCTTCGAGGGCCTCTACAAGGGTTGTCAGACGACGAAACTTGTTTTCAAGATTTTTACTTCTTCTGAGTCCATGTATTTGGAAAAAAATCGGACGAATTCAAGATAGATTTAGTTTGTTTATTTGATTGTTTGATTCATAGTTTTACAGAACAAATTTGGGGTTAGGAACTACTCGATCCTCATTTTAACATATTTTTTATAATACCCACTCACAACTTTGACATCTGACCATCCAAGATTCTGGTATTGGAAATGTTGAGCAGCTCCACTCCCTAGACTCTTGAATCTGAATCACCTAGCAAGGTATAGAAACATAGTAATGTATTGCTAACATTTCATGTCTTTACATACTATCAACAATGATACCTTATCAAACTTCCATCACTACAGCGACTACCCCGGCCACAAGAATGCAAGGGGTAAGTGAAATGATATCTTTTAAAGCTTGATGGGGAGAGGCTTTCTCAATATTGTACATGTTATGTGTTGCTATGTCTTTGTGTTTACTATATAATGATCTAAAAATGTATAATTCTTTGTTAGGAAGGTCTATGAAAGAGATTTGCTATGAAAGAACTTCCTCCTTCGTGCTTAAGGCAATGACTTGCCTACAGAATACATTTGATTGATATTCTGAACGAAAGCATTTTGTTCTGAAGAAAAACAGAAATTCATTGCTTAGAAAATATTTTACAATTTTGTTAAATTTTTGTTAATTGTTTACATTTTTTGTCACCAAATACAATTTTTGTATTAGTATAGTTTGGGTTTACCTTTAAAGGGACTATGTCCCTTTTGCAGCCAACCTCAAATGCTGTAGAACCTTGCAGGAACTATGAACATGTCATGTATGTCCTATCTGTGAAATTTAAACGTTAGCAGTGTCCTCATATTCAAATTATGCAAGGAAACCCGTTTACTTGCTAGACTTCACTGTCAGACACTATTGAGTGAGTGACTGGCTTTTTTCCTTCTTTGGTAATAACATACATGAAAAGAGTTGTAAAGGGTACATGAGCATGTGTCTACATCAATAACCCACTTCTTGTGATGGCCAAGATTAAACTGATTGAATCTTTGCGCAGCATAAAACGTATGACAATTCGGTACTATTGTCTGAAAATCAAGACTATTACTTTTGGGCTCTATAGCCCTAAAGTCGATTTGACAACTAATAGTCGTTATTTTTCCACTTGAAGACATTTTCAAGCCCCTCCTTTTTTAGGGAAGTTATAAATTAGTATTATCTTTTAAATACATTTCTGGAACATGGAAGGGAGGGCATTTGTTAATTTTTAGCGATACATGCTGACCACGTATCCAAGTATAATTAATTAGATAATCCATTCTTGAAACTAATAACATGTGCATTTAATTGTTCCTTGCAGACTCTTCAATGTTATTCTTGTTCGACTAACTCCATAACGGATGTTTGCTCTACTGCTGATGACCTTGCAAGCGGTTCTGGAGTACTAACTCCTACATGCTATGAAGGACAGAGTTGTTGGGTATTCAAATACTTTGAAATTTATATTTTTCCTCACAGGGTTGATCTGGCATGTGTATAGGTTTGGTATTATAACAGAAAATACAATGAGGATATATCTCTAAATTGATGTTGTGAAACAGAAGACATGAATTTATACAAAGTAAACATTAATTTTCACCTAAGCTTATGTTGTGTCTCATCTGTTTATTTACTTCGTCCTCATATACTCGGGGTAAGTGATAGTTTTGTCCATTTGGGGGGGGGGTTAATTTCTTTTCCTCTCTTTTTTGCTTTAATTTTTCTTATCAAAGAAAAAAAATAATGAAATACAATACAAAGCAAGAAAACAATTGATTTGGTGGGATGTCTATATAAACCAATGGACAAAAACATTAGTGAACTGGATGAGGTAAAAAACCGTGCGAATCGTATTTTCAAGAAATCAAAAGATGAAATTTAAATTCTACAACATCGTGAAAAAAAAATACTGCCAAAAACTCAACTACGGTAGGTACGAACGATCAAGTTACATAGAGTATCATAAAAATTCTTCATTTTTTGCAGACTGATCATTATGAGAACTCGTCACACACGGTTGTGTCGCGTGGATGCACAGATGACCAATGCAATACCTATCATGAAGGTGGTGGACCTTACTGCACTATGGCTAATGGTGGTACCAGTTGCACATCCTGTTGTACTGCATCAAAATGCAACGACAACAAATCCAGCTCCGAGGGTCTCACTTCTAGCTGTGTGACATGGCTGACATCTCTTTTCTCAGTGGTCATCATTATCATCACTTATAGAACCTAACAAAACTCAAATGTCAAAAGCTGTTCCCATATTATCATTTATTATAAAAGGCAAAAGTATGCCAACTCCATTCACAATCATATTGTAAACATATTGTTAAAGGTAATACAAAGTTTTGGTATAGGAAAGTGAAAAGTATGCCGCAGACCTGCCGCAGACCTGCCGCAGATCTGCTGCAGACTTTTAGTTTGCGGCAGACTTTTAATCTGCGGCAAAGAGTATGCCGAAGTATGCGGCAGAAAGAAATTTTGCTGCAGACTTGCCGCATACCAGTATGCCACAGGAACAGTCTGGGGCAGGATGAAACTTTGCTCCAGATTTTTTGCCGCATACTAGTATGCCACAGGAACAGTCTGCGGCAGATCTGCGGCAGGATGAGAAATACAGTCTGCAGCAAATCTGCGGCAGGATGAAACTTTGCTCCAGGCTTGCCGCATACTAGTATGCCACAGGAACAGTCTGCGGCAGATCTGCAGCAGGGCGTAACTTTGCTCCAGACTTGCCGCGTACCAGTATGCCACAGGAACAGTCTGCGGCAAGTCTGCCACAGAAAAGTGGGAAATTATACAGTCTGAAGCAAGGCTATAGGCAGCCATTTTGGAGGACATGCAGTACCATGAGGTTGCAGGCTGAGCACATGATCTTGTAAATTCCTGTGTTAATTAGCACTGTTAATTGTCTTTTTAGCTTCTGGTACAATACGAGGAATTTATTACATAAGGAGAGAATTAACGGACTGTTTCAAACTTTTTTGTTGTGCCATATGTGATCTTATCTTCAGCCCCACTAACTCACTTTTTTGTTGTAACTAGCACATGGATCTGTGACTCTACTCTGGGCTATCTGTATGCAGTCATTGTATTATACTCCTCTACCTCTACTTCTGCATTGTGTTAAACCCATATTTGTAGAATTGTTGAAGCAATTCCACCTATTTTAGCCGTTTCTACTAATTCAAGGTGCTAGAATGTAATGATGCAATGTGTGTGTGTGTGTGCATTTGGTTTTTGCAGACGTGTATCAATCAGATATGATTATTTACGTCTGGGGACCGACCTTTAACGTCACCATCCGAAAGACGTGACTCAGTTTCGAACCTGCGTCCTCGGCAGAATCAGTTTGTAACTTCCACTGTTAGCTGGATTACAGGCGCACGCCACAACGCCTAGTTGCATGCTCTCCAGCATAGCCTTCCTGCAAGACTGCATACTTAATTGCTACGTACTGGATATGAAAGAGTATGCGGCAGGTCTGCAGCAAGTCTATATGAAATATGAATATTCATGATGAAGAGTCTGCGGCAGGTCTGCAGCAGACTCTTTGTTATAAGCCTTTTCTATGAATATAGAAGTCTACGAAGAGTATGCGGCAAGTCTGCAGCAAGTCTCCGGCTGACCTGCCGCAGACTCTTCATCATACTGAAAGAGTATGCGGCAAGTCTGCAGCAGATCTGCGGCAAGTCTGCCGCAGGAGTATGCGGCAGGCTCATTTCTTTCCTATGGGGGGTCATGAGGTTGGTTCAAATGAACATATTGGAAGATTATACAATCCTACAATATTCAGTGATCGTTGTCGCGGTTGAAATCAAGTCAAAATTTACCGGGAGCACCGGAATTTTTTTTTATTTTAAATTTTTCTCGAAAGCAGAAGTGTTTTAGGGGCTAAATTTTCTAGTGCTTAGAATACATCTAAAGGGGCATCCAAATATATCAAAATTGTAAAGAATCACTATATCCACCCAATTTTCAAAATTTCCCAAAACTTTGATGAAAGACTAATGGTTGAACTAGCTCATTTTGATTAATCGTATACACACAATAAGATTTTTAATGTGAAATTTGAAATAAGAATGTTTTAAATCCAAATATGGCAAGCACTCATGTACTCAATGAAATTTATTTTTAATGATTAAAGTAATAATAACTATACTACTACTACTACTGCTAATAATAATAATAATAACGATACTAACAACAATATTAATCATAACGTATCATTTAACCAGGATAGTCTTGTGAGATAAACGCACGATAATGCAAAATCGTATTTTATTATTTATTATTGGCCACTAAGCATGTTAATAAATCAGTAAAATTAGCAATATTGCGATAAACAAAATCAAATGATAACACTTTATAAAGGAAACAACTATTTCTTACAACCAAACCATCAGTGTTTGCAAAAGTAAGTAACAGACTTTTGTATTATAAATAGGTATTGATTGAATGAAAGCATTGAAATAAAATAAATGAAATCAATTTTATATTTGGTAAGATTTCTTCTATTGTACAAATTTATCATAAGAAAAGTTTAGAATCGCTTTAATGTACTATTCACATTAAACAAGTCTTAAAATCCGTCCTGAATTTTCTGCATGGACATGTTCTTAAAAATACATTAAAATGCAGAATAAAGACGTTAAAAATCGTTTAATAGTACCTTGAAGTTTTCAAATTGTTTATAAATTGTGTGCCCTTACCAAATGTAATATAAATAATGAGTGGAAAATATTTGATATATTAAATCTATGATTATAGGAGAAAACAATGTGACATTATTTTTATGTGAGTTTCAACAAATCTGATAGAACAATGTTTGATATATGTTTGAATAACACAAATGACCTGGGTATCAGGCTTCTAAAGCTTGCTTCCATGATGTTTTTTCTCTTATCATAATGTAGTGTATGTATCAATCAGTTGATAATTGCTAGTACGTTGATGTAGACCTGAAAGGTATGACAACTACTCACAAGCAGACACAGGGATATTGTAAAAATATTTGCTTTTCACTTTATCAACCAATACACAGGAAGAACGCTTATGAATGAATTGTATTCATTGCCTGAAGAAACTGTTTAAAAGGTGGGACTGGAAACGTATTTTGTAGTCTTGGAATGGAGAGGAAGTTCCATACATGATATTTAAATGAAGAACCTGATAAGATGTACACAAATATTGTGATTGTCTACTCATATTGCCCTACATGAATGAACTTATCGGGGTTTTTTTTTGGGGGGGGGGGGGGGGGCCCAAGGTGAGATGTTGCAAACGTTATGTGCTGGCCGTGTTCAGGGCTATGGTAATCAAAACTGTGTTAAGCACTTTACATCTGTAATCGTTATTGATACATAAAGGAAGACATTGACAAAAAGAAACAAACAGATTTTCCATTTTGTTATCTCCATTCATGCGAGTAAGAATAATTGTACTTTTTAACTATTACAGCGCTGTGTAAAAAAAAAAAAAAGCAATTATTTGTCCAAGCCTGCGAGGTTAGCGGAATACCAACTGGTCGTGAATTGAGTTCATTAGTCCCTCTAAGGAGAGAAATATGAAATATGCCTACAAACTAACTTACTATACCATATACTAGAAAGTTTTAGTTTAGTCTCATATTACGGATTCTATTTGGATGCAGGTTAAGAAAATTGCACAATGTTTAGTGTTTACAAAAACTCACATGACTTCAGTGTCAAATTTGTTTTGTATCTTCCTAACATTTTCTATGGTATGCTCTATCACCTTGATTGATTTTTCTCAACTTTGACTTTGTTCTCTGTTAAAAAGCTGCTTATCTGTACAAACAAGTATGAATTTATTGATGTTGTTGATGCAGAGCTATTTTCTTAATAATTTGATAAAATGTTACTATGGTGAAGAGTGTATTCATTCGGGTTATACATGTTCTTACTAATATGTCATAATGCTAAAATTACTAGAGCTTTCACATTGTGTTCTTTGCAATGGACGTAGTCTACATAATTTCAATTATACATTAAATTGTTACATAATAATGTATTGTCAATTCACTTTCCTTTAATGTTTCAAATAAAGTTTGGATTGAGGTGTCATTAATCATAGTCAACGTGGACTTATTTCTTTAGAACAGTGAAAACAAATTTTCTAACTATATCCACTTATGTGAACAAGTACGTGATCTTAGAATATAATTGGTCTTAGGGATGACAGCCCACAAGACCAACAATATCAGTCTCACAGGCCTCTTGACATCGTTTTTGAGGGCTCACTAAACCAACAGACCATTAGACCGACAATGTCAGTCTCGTGGACCTTCTGACAACGTTTCGAGGGTTCACCAGACTAACGCACCACGAGACTGATATTCTTTGTTGGTCTCATGGCCTGGCTATCTCCTGAGATGACCCCAATGTAACCAAAGAGACCAAGAAGTCATGAAGTGGACAGCCCATGAGACCGACATATTGTCAAGTTAAGATTGATGCCCATGTACATTTTGTTTGACCTAATTGATGGTTCCTTGACATGTCCGATCAGTCACAGGATGACTGTCTTTGCCACCTTGAAGATGCATTGTAGACGAGCGATCAGTGACATGATGACCGTCTTAAAGAATCGAGGGACTCATGTTCAATTATAGTCGTACAGGAAATATCAAGAGCTCATCAAGCATGTCAAGAATAGCAAAACTCTGAAGGATACAGGGATATGAAGATATTACTCTACCAAAAAGAAATGGCTGTTTCCATCGAAATTGAACCCTAAAGAAGTTGACATCAGCTTCTGTGAACCACAAAAAGAAGTGTAACGAACGACACAAAATATTAAAAAGCAAAATATGAGTCATATAAAATGATATAAATATTTCATCTAGTACTCTTAGCTTTCATAACCTGCTCGTTTTGTCTTAAATATGTTCGTGGATGTGACCAACATTGCCGGTACCATGTTTGATAATCGGCGACACAGTCATCAAGAAAACACCGAATTTATAAATACCACATATTTGTAAATTGCACATCACAAAAACAAATGTAAGCATCTAAAGATTAGTATTTGAGCGTCTAGGTTGATTGCAATGATGAGGTTGATTGCAATGCAATCTGTCCCATGTGATGGGTTAGACATACAAATTTACTATTGAAAAGGTATAATAAGATATTGACATTTATGGAAAAAGGTGGTCTAGCTATTACTTTACAACCCATTTAAAGTTTTCTTTTGTTTTTCAATACCCCACGGTTTCATTCACATTATGCTGCGAAATATAAACATAATGCATCAGTGGCGGACCCACACCAATTAAAAAAATTGCTTGACACGGAATTTACGGAGATTTACATGTTGTATGGTAAATCATTGTATCAAATGTAATTATGAAAATAAGAAAAGGCGTAACAGATTAATAATCATTAGTCGTAGCAGTAGAATAGATATTTCAGCTGCGGATAATGTCAAAACTAAAATCGATGAAATAGGTCGAAACAGAGGAAAAGAGACGAAATAAATGAAAGCTCGGTATGTCATGACTTTATCATGATACTGAACATGTGACTATCCTGAGATTACCATTCAATGATCGCTTCCATTGGGCTGGAACAATGGACATCTCTTCATGATATGTATATCATATATATTAGAATAATTGTTTTCATTACACACACACATACACACGCAAACACGCGCACCCTCACCTTTTTACCGTGTTTACATAGTGACCCGGCGGCTCGGGGGTTGAATCATCCATCAAGCAGTGTTGAATAAGAAGAGGGCAACCGTGACCGCGTTTATACGGACAAAAAAAAGCCAGTTTAACATGGCCCGAGGGTCACAATGACGTCACAATCTGGTGAATTTGCCACTCAAATGTGCGTAGGTCAGCAACCTATACATCAGTGATCTCGTTAGATGACATAAATTACTGTGTTGAGCACACTGAGCTCGCGGTTTAAACCGCCATTCTGGCGGATCCAAAATGGCGGGTTTTACACGGCTCGCGGATCACTAAGCTCCCGTTTATATGACATAAAATTGCCGGGTTGAGCACGGCTCGCGTGTTCAACCCCCGAGCTAAGTCACGGGGGTATTATTATGCGCATTTGTTTGTACCCGTATTCAACGTCAAATAAAATAATTACTTGAAAAGAAGGGCTTAAGGTTGAAATTATTTGAAATACTTTCGTCTTGTACAGAGAATCATTGTTTGTTGTGTTTTTGTTAAATAATTTTATACTTAAGTATATGATTGTATATGTATTGTTGCGTGTTGGTATTAATTTGTGCCTTTGTATTGCCTGTTTTGTATTCATAATCATTCTGAGATGCAGTGGACTCTTTGCTCGGATTGGCCCACCAGAGCTCTAAATAAGAATTTCCTGTACTTGTAAGATGTTTGGTGATATTATTGTTCACGTTCTGGATCTTAGGTGATACATAATTATAAAAATAAACAATACCATTCGAGAGTCTAGCAAAAAATAATAGCTAATGAAGAGGCATAAATAGTTACTTTCCCGAGGGTAAATTTATATCAAAATTACCTCGAGGAAAAGTTAATAATTATGCTTCTGACAGCTCATAGTTGCTAGAGCCAAGAAATGCATTGTTTATCTGTTTTATATCCCTCATGAGCATCTCACTATTTAAAAAACTATTACAAGGCCTGTATTGTTTTCTTGCTGTAAGTATTCACCGTTTCGATTCCGAGCTCCAGCGTAGCTCTGCGAGAGAAGGAGGTCTAACTGGCTTCGTTATCCACAAGATCATCATCAAAATCGGCTTTTATTTCCTTACAAAAATCCTGAAAGAAGGTCCGTACCTGATCTGTTTCTTCGTGTGTTTGCTGTCACTTCCTTCATTAAGTTTCAACAATGCTTCAACATTTAACAGGTGAATACGGGGATAGTCTGCAGCCAATTTGTCGAACTATGTTTTTTCAGCTGTTTTTCTCAATGAGCTATCCTACGCGCACGCGGCGCCGGAACTCTTCCGATGGCTATGTGCACCATACCGGCTGAAGAAACTCCAAACTGGAGATTTTGCTTGCGCGCTTGTTGCACTCCAAACTTTGAAGAAATTTAGATCCCAGAAATATCGGTGATAGGTGGAAAACGTGGATTCCGGAATTTACTATACCACGCCAAATAGTAAATTTTCTCACGCTCTCAAATTCATAGTGAAACTATCCCTTTTTCGTGCTCTGTACCAGAACTTTCAACTATTTTTAGGTTGCTCTGAAAAGGTGCTATTATCATCATTATTATGTATGGTAGTAGAATTAGTATTTGTGGGTATTTTGGGGGAGTTTGAAAAAAAAAATGCATTTTTGACCAATATCAATATATACAAACAAGTACACTGCATTATAGTAATAGGCTGGCTGCCATAGCTCAAACAGACAACGGATAGCTTTCTCAACACAATTCAGTAAATAAATTCTTTAAAAAAAATGTTTAAAAAAATGTTGCAGGATATAAAACATATATGCCATGCCTTCTATTTGAGGTACTGGTTTAACTAGTGACTCCAATACTCCTATTTTCTCAGCAAATAGTGGAGACACCTCTTGCCCATAGTTTAACCAGAACCTCTGACGACAGTGTATAATATACATGTATACGTGTCCCTGTTATGATCCCTTTTCAATGGGTCGCGGTCATGTTTGTGTATTTGGCACAGACATCCCATATCCCTATATTTATCTCCATGCATTTTATACGAATGAATGAATCAATAAGGTCACCCCATCGCACCTACACACACACACACATACCTACACACACGAGTATCATAAACCAGAGGGAATAAAACACTGCTTTAACGCACTGTAAACCCATTGGACAATATTACTGGCCAATGATTGTCCAATATTTCATTCGCTTTAGGCATGAAAGCGCGCCTCTGATTGGCTATCCATTGGTTGCCCACGTTATATTCATGGCAATGAGAAAACAGGGGGCGTGGCTTAGATAGAAATGATATATAAATTGTGCAGAATCATATCTTTGCTCATAATCACATATTTCAACCTGTTAGGAACTTCTAAGGACAGATTCTATTAGGATAACATACATACCAGAGTCAAATAGAGGTAAGTGCAATTCAGTATTATTACAGTTATCATTTCCAGTTGTATTGGTTTCTCATTTACACGTACAAGCAGTTGCCTTGTAATGACTATAGCAACGGTTGGACTGTTCTCTTTGAAGTTACTTGCAAACTTATAACAAAAAATAACACTTGATTTTGACAAAGTTAGGCTAATTGTGATCAGTGAATACAGGCTTTGTGTCTCTTCAGGTTTTATAAAAGTACTTAAAATCAATACAGTGTTCGATATATCCATACTTTCTTTATTCAATCGTGAAGCCTATTTCTTTCTCCATCACACAATCCCGATTCAGAACCTATATTCATAAGTGAACGTATGTTGGCAATCATCTTTTGTTATTATCACTCATCTGAACTCTACAGGATGATTAAATTAAATCTCAAAAGTTCTAAAAAAGAAACAAATTCCCCGATGTATCCCGAAATTGTAACATTTCTTATACTGTAGATATAAAGCTGCTAAGATTACATAAGAATGTTTTTACTTGGAGCTCGATTTCTTAAACACTGAATTGAAAAAAATACGTGAGCAAGTTTCTCCCCATGCTGGAGGCAACTGTAATGAATTTTGTCTTGTTACTGTCTGTGCGGAGAAGAAAACCCAATAACTGACTGGAATATTTACATTATTTATTTACCGTATCGACAATAGAGAGCGTTGTACAAAATTTCTTCTTTCTAGCATTGTATCATAAACAACATAATGAACCAAGAACAAAGGATTGACACACAAGTTACTTTCTTCTTACAGGTTTGTCTCCTGTTTCTCACAATGTATGTAACCTAGATTCAGTATACAATAATATATGAACAAGCAATATATTGACTTACCAACTGTTAAATATCCCGGTTCTAATAGATGATTACAATGAAAGATCCTCCAAACTTCCACACAATTCTAAATTGAGTTGCTAACTCCTTTCCTGTGTAATTCGGTCTGCACTGTAGGATGTTTCATGCATCCCATGAGATGCTCTACAAGCCAAGTTTATGCAAATTAGCCCTAGGCAAACACCCCACTGGACCCTGGGCTGTTCCATGAACAAGCAGGGGAACTCTGTTACATAATCTCAGAGGGAAAGGAGATCTTGTTTGTGAATACATGATTCGATTTCAATATACCATGTTTATGACGCTACAGTGTCTTTTTAACTAAAGAAATGTTGGATGATCATTTTCTAAGTAATTTTGTAAAATATAAACATTGGAGCACAGAATTATAGACAAGAACAAAACGAACGAGAGATGGAGATGTTTATATAGGATTTCCCGGCCAAATTCGCCTGTTTGTCACTCGAATTCATTTACTTTGCATTTAAGTAAGCGCAGATCGGCTTAGCCATGCCAATTATCATTCAATTTTCCAGTTTTTGTATTTAATTTAGGATTCTGGTCGAAGGGTTTCATAGATCTGTCATTGAATTTAGAAACTGCTCAACCAGCATTCAAATTAATATTCACTTGTCGCAGCGTGATTTTTATCATTCAAATTAACACCTGTCATTCGTATTCGTAATATTTTATTCAAGTTAGGAATGTTAGGGGGAAGAATTGCAACAAACTTTTACAGTTTTTAAATAATGCAATTAAAATGCATGATTTGCCATTGGGGTCTAAGCTGTTATTCCATTTATTCATTTTCAGGACAATGCAGATGGGTGTTGTCAGACATAAAGTAAAGAAGGGGCGAAATCACTAGGCATTTCCGCACGGACATGTTCATATACCCAGGAAAGGTAGGGGTACCCTCAATCGCCCATTTTTACGACAGACTAGGAATTTTACAAAAGCAATTCACATCGTCTCTTATACCCATCACACCCCTCTGTTTTTCTTAAAGAGTTTCATAGTTTACTTGCCCGCCAGCAGATCGATGGCTAAAGACTTGGCTAAATAACGAATCATGTTCAAATTGTTGACTCTAGTCCCTACTCCAGTCACACTATTGTACCCTTCTTCTATAATGAAATTATGATGAAATTAGGATAAATTTATGATGAAACATAAGACAAACAACTTCCTTACATGAACATTTACAAATATATTGAGACCATCAGGTCCGTAGATTCAAGTCGTTTTTTTCTTCTTAACAACCAAACTTAAATGCTGATGAACATCAGATAAATCTAATAAGTATAAGGGTAGAAATACAAGAAAATTAAATACGATGAAATACACATGAAAAAACAATCTTGAAAGAAAAAGAATGAGCTATAAAAAGTGTGTAATAAACGAGAAATGTATATTGACCATCAATTTAAGTGCACAAAGTGCTAATATGAATGCTACAAATGAATTAGAATGCTAAAAGTACACCGTCGCGTTGTTAGAAAATCGTGTTGCGCCAAATCGAATGACCAAATAGCGAAAGAAGCACATTGTTCATTAATTTGAATGAAACATACGTAGATTCTAACGAAAATTCCGTAGATTTGAAAACTGAACTAGAAAAGGAATATAAACCCGAGATATACATGACTGCACTAAAACCGTCGAATTTGAACGCAAGACAAATTAATTTGAATGACAAACTCGCGAATTTGGCCGGGAAATCCTATATAATAATAATACTTAGTTTTTATATAGCGCTTATTGACATATTTGAGGTGTATCTATTCTTTTCCAGGATTTCAAACAATTAGCAAGAATGGGAGATTACAAGACGATTGCCTTGGTCTTAATGTTAATCATTACAGGTAAGTAATTATTTACCATCTCCTTATTTTGGGGAATGCTTGAACAAACCTTATGTGCCCTATTTTTTTCGTTTTCGTTTAGATACCTTTAAAAATATTTTGGCAATTGTTATTGGCAAGGCTTCGTGTCTAAGACCAGAAAAGGGCAAAGGCTCTTCCGATGAGAGAAAATGGTGCTTAGGCAGTGACTTCAATGCTAGATGCACAATTAAAGATAATCTGAAAGTTTGAGTGAAAACAGACCATTTTTAATGATTAAAATTGGGAAAACTGATCTGATCGATTCCTTAATTCTCCAAAATATATCATTACAATTTAATTATTATTTAGGTTAATGTAAATTGTCACAAAGCAATGAATGGGCTCTAAATTCCATTCCAGACATTAAACTGTTGAAAGATTTTAAAAAAACCTGTCTGATGTCTTATTTTCATAAAAAAACGGTTGGGAAAATTCAAAAATCGTAGGGAGAATTTACTGTTAAAGAGTGTCGCACAGAGGTTTGAGAATTTTTCAGGATTTGTTGCATGTTAGAGGGTTAGAACATTAGAAGGAATATAATAGGTAACATTTAATACAACAATTACGCATTTTTTCATCAACCTTCAACAATGTTACCGAGTCACTTTAAAAACACAACAAAAATATTTAAGACACGTATTAATTCGAATTTTAGCATGACTCTTAATCTGCCTTCACAAAAAATGTCTACCTAAGGTTGTGTTGCACTTCGAATTAAGATGTGTCTAAACTATTAACGTCGTGTTGTGACGTGTCTTATTTATTGAAGTTAGTTGACAAGGTTTATTGATAAAAATTAAAAGTTACAGCTAAAAGGTGATGCCTTTTACAAATAAAACTGCATCATATAAGATGCATGCAAATAGTACCATGTTAAATAGGCAAATACATAAGTAAGACATACAATAGTGAATTTCATATGAAAACAAGACAAAAGAAGGAAAAGAAAAATTGAAGGAGAAAAAGAAAAGAAAAAAGAAAGAAGAAAGAAGGAGGAAACGTGGTTGACAGTAAAATAAGCGTTTACAATGTTTATGTTTATAAAATCAGTAATAAAATGCAATGTCCAAATATGAATTCAGTAAGGAAGCCGTGTCTGACCTATGTAACAATTGTATGCAGATAACTTTTTGATTAATACAATATCCTTGCAAATAAGGCATTAAAATGATTTATATTTAAAATAGTATATTGAGACTGGGTGCTATACATGTTGTTCAGAATATTGGCTTATGCAAGTATGGTTACATATCGTGCATTTGATTTTATCACATTTACGTCCTGTTGTAAGTCTAATGAACACACGTTGCGATTCGATTTACTACGGGTTGGCATATATTGCGGTTTTGAGAGCATCCTTTTTCCATAGAGATAATGAGATTGGTCCCCGTTTCACAACCGCAAATCAAATACAGTTATCGACCAACTCAATTTCGAATATGAGAACTTGTATAGCGCCCTCTAATGACAAGTTAGTTGAAATAGTAAACATTTGTAAAAAGGGCACAGCATTTCAGAAACAGGGCCCTACATAGCGCAAATGGATGGATGTTTTACGAAGAAATCTGACCGTACTCTTACATCTCGGTCACACCGCCTATGAGAGTTCGAACCAACTCCAAAACAACCGGTCCTTGGTCATTGGGAGTCATGTAATGTTGGTTCTGTGTTGGTTCAGTCTAGGATCGGTCTCATGTTGTAACTGAGGCATATCTCACTTTAGTTGCGAATAGATTACGGAAGCGGCTGACAGGTATTTTCAGACATTCGGTCCCGCTCCAGAATAGCAAGAAGAGTTGTTGAGGAATTTCAACAGAATAGTTTCCACATACAACGAATGGTTGGACATTAGTTGTAGAATAGTTAACGAAACTATCCATTTTTAAATCTTGGTGTGTTTTTTTAAATAAATTTTCAATAGAGCAAGGTCTGTCTCCTAAATATCTTCATACGTTATACTCAAAAGGAACTGAGCAAAATGCTGAACAGGGTGAACCCACCATTTTTGTAGCGTAAGCATTCAACTGAGGGTGTGAGGTGGTTTCACAGTCCATAACAACTTATAAAAAAAGAAGAGAAAAAAGAAGTTCAAGTTTATTTATTTACTATTCTTATACATATAGCTCCGTTTAGTCTCATTTGAGAACTCCCTTATCGGCAGAGTCTAGCAGCCTACCATGTACGTTAGCCTATGGACTTTTACAACAAAAATCGTTAAAATTTCTTCTTTTTTTGTGTGTAAACGAAAAGCACAGCCACCCCGACATACGTTATCACTAGCTCTTTCATTGGAACCCTCATGTCCCATTGACTTTTGAAAGTTAACCCACCGTAATTTGATCAAAATAGGTCGCAAGCTCGCCATTGCCTATATAACACATGTACAACAGGTCGAACTTTGGACTCAATTTACCACGCGATTGTAAGGTTATAAGTCAAGCACACGAAGGATAAGAAGCATGAATTATCATAGATCCGTTCTGATTTGTTCATTATGTCCATTTCATCTAACCCCCACCGTAATTTTTCCATTTAGTATAGGCAAGCATTTTGCCGAGGTAAGCAAAAACATGAATATTCATGAGCACCATGGACTATTCCATTATCAACAGAGGGGTGCAATTGTGCACCACATCAAACTCCCCTACCTTCAGTAAAGTATTTCATTGTATTACGTAGTTTGGTAAGTTTATTTTACTAATTGTTTAATTATCAGATATCAATGATAGTTTAAAGATATGGAAAGATTCTTGTATTTTGTATTTAGCAAAGCAATCTCACATACTAATTTACTATCAAGTGTCGTCTGATCCGCCGATTGTCGTCTGCTATACACGCGAACTAGCTACGTTTGTGCGGGCGAAAATGAGACAACCGGAGCAATATGCAGTGCATAACATAAAGACATTTAAAAAATAAATTTTTGATAATAATGACATTCTACATATTAGGTCTCAATAAGGAATAGTTGAACTTTATTAACTTAACAATACTTCATTATTTACTTGTGTTATGTACAAGTTAAAGCCTTTTGTTCCACTTAGTATTTTGCTCATTATATACAATTCTTTCATTCATTCACGTATTTTCTACAGTAACATTGTATGGGCCATTAATAAAGTAAATACTGATGATATCTTAAGGTTGCAAAAGAGAGCAATGAGACTATGTTGTGGCTCTGGGTTCTTTGATCACACGTACCCATTATTTTTCAGATTGAGAACTTTGAAAGTTACTGATATTCAAATTATGCAGATTGCAGTGTTCATGTACAGACTTAATAAAAAAGAACTGCCTTTATCATTTTGTAACGATTTTACTCTAAATAGAAACATTCATAACTACCAAACCAGACATTCTTCTGATTTCCATTTGTTTACACCAAGGAGTGCTTTAGCCCACAGATCAATTCGATATGTACGTCCTGACATTTGGAACGCTTTGCCACAGGAAATACGAACTTGCAATAATCTTTTGATTTTTAAGAAAAAACTAAAGGAATTATTTCTCTCCAAATATGCTTGTTAACTTTTGAGGTACATTATGCTAGTGCTATTTTTTTTTGTCAAGAAGAGGTACATTAAGGGGCATGATTTTGTATTTTTTTTATTTTGTAATTACAGAATGTCTTATCTTAAGCCATGTTTTATGTAAACCTAATAATTACCAGCTATTATCTTAGGGACGTTGCGCTTCAAACATTTTTTGTTTATGCATTGTCCCTACTATGTATTATTATTATATATTGTAACCAAATTTTATTATCTGTAAACAGTTATTTTACATGGTGAATAAATAAAACAAACAAACAAACAAACTTGCTTTGACCTTCAAGACAATTGTTGTTTTGGGGGGAGGGAGATAGTAAGTAAAAACGGAGATAAGAGATCTAATGTGGAAATATACATTCATATTCCTTGACCACACTAACACTTCTTTCTTTTTCATCTATTTTGGGGGATGCTTCCCTTGATTATCAACCTTGGTCAGCAGGATTTAAAAGGATCAGTGCAGCAGGTAAGAATACTTTGATATCATCGTCTCTTCATTGTGTGTACAATTAAATTAGAAGTATAAAGAACGTCATCAGTCAGTCTACAGCGTTTGGCAGCCTAAAAAATGGGAGAGCGACGGAAAAAAAAGGAGTAAAGAAAGAGAAATAAAGGTAAAAGAGAAGAAGAAAGGCAAACATTATTTTAGTTTCTCTACCCTGAGTAACAGGTCAACAATGTGTTCGATGGATGGAAACCTCAACCCATCGCAATTTGTATAAATATATGCATAAATCAATGTTGGCGGATTGGGGAAAAGTGAATCGGCTGTGGTCCTTCCCCAGTTTTGTGGCGGCCTTATAAAATACGGAAAACGTTTTTAAAAAAGGGGGCGAGAAAGAAAAGAAGATAGGATAAATGAAAATGAGAGAAAGAGAGGGGGGTAAAAAGGAGGACCATGAAACCTAACCGAACATGAAATTTAACATGAAACTTAACCTATACCTAAAGCCTCGGTCACAAATGCCATAACGAACTGCTACGAACGCCGTACGACCGATTTTCAAACAATGGAAATTTGGGAAAGACAATGGAAAACAGGGAGATAATTCGTACGAAATTATCTTTCGTACGAACCTTTGTGACCGTAGCATTACAAGCATTGCTTTCAAGTCGGTTCCTTTGTCATTTCCTGTAACTAAATAATTTTGCATTACAAGCCCGGCCCCCACTCAGTGTTATTTAGGGTACGCGTATGCATGTTCCCTATAGCGCCGGTTGGAGAGCATGGCTATTCCTCATTCCGGACGACGGATAGTCAACCTGTTCGAAACGTCGAGCCCTTACAGCCACCCATCCTCTCCAAGTACCGGCGCTATAGTTCTCCTTAGAACTATAAGCTAAGAAAGATAACCAACAGTCTTTTTTAGGACTACACACCCTTAAGAAAGATTGAGGAGTCCTTTTCAGGACTCCTCAATCCTCCCTCTCTCACATGTTGCAACCGCAAGCCTACTGTATAAGCACCCCTTTACCGAAGATTTTGGGAACATGAATGCGGTCCCTCCGACCCCGGAGTGGGGGGAGTGGGCCGGGAATGCAAGACTAATTGGGATTATCTTGTCATTGTTTATATTACGTGGAAAATGAAATAAAATTCGCTCTGTAAAGAGCGACTACTCCTACTACTACTAAACATAACTAAAAATAATACACCGCCGATGAGACGGAGACTTTAGACGAAAGTAGATAATTTTAAAGAAACTTTTAAAAAGTTCTATGAAAGAGAAAGAAAGACGATTTCTAAAGAAATTAAATTAAAGGGGCTGTGTATAATTCAACGAGATAATTACAATTTCTATCGCTCGTGGCGGAAATCTCGAAGGTTCTAAATTGTTTAAGACTGTGGCCCTACGATGGCCCCATCCACCCCACTTACTGTTATAAGCGTACCTGAAATGCTTGTTCCCTCCTTTTAAAAGCACCCCATATCTCAGGACTGTCAACATTTCTGAATCCTCCCCCCCCCCCCCTTACGCGGGCTTTTCCTGCCTTGGAGACCCAGGTTCAGTTTCAGGAGTCCAAAGAGAGAGAGAGAAAAACACCCTTTTTAAAAGAAGTCTCCAGGTGAAAAGTCAAATACACCCCTTTTTTTTTACAATCCTCGGGCTTGATTTTGTTGTGCGAAAAGTACCCCTTTACTGGAGATTTGGGGAACATGCATGTAGTCCCTCCGACCCGGAGTGGCGGAAGGGGGAGGTGTCGTTTCTGTATGAAGGTGAACATCTAAAAAATAATACTAGCGTGGCAAATGCGTTCAATTCATTTTTCGTGAACATAGGCCTCAATCTTGCCTGCAACATTCCCGATTCCAATTACCATTCAATTCTTTTCTAAGAGGCAACATTCCAAATAGTCTTTTCTTTTTACCTACTCACGAAACTGAAGTAATAGATATTGTAAACAATTTCAAGCTGAAAATAGTTCAGGGTATGATGGTATCACTAATGTTTTACTTTTTAAAAAATCCATGTAATAGATTCTCCTCTAACACATATTTCCAATCTATCACTAACAATTAGCACTGTCCCTAATAAAATGAAGATCGCAAAGGTTGTACCTATTTTTAAGAAAGGTGATCGACAGGACGTAGGAAATTACCGCCCCGTTTCACTTCTAACCATTTTCTCATAAATCCTAGATTTTTTTTCTCGCCTTATTGCTTTTTCAAATTGTAACCATGTTCTCTATGGCTCCCAATTTGGTTTTCGCAAGAAGCACTCGACCGCGCACGCACTTCTATTATTTATCAATAAGATTGCAAATGCTATCGTCAATGTGTTCCATACTGCGGGTATTCTCCTGGACTTCTCCAAGGCCTTCGATACGATTAATCACGATATTTTACTCCATAAATTATCCCACTATGGTGTTCGAGGGAGGGCCTTGGAGTGGTTCAGGAGCTACCTCAGTGGTAGAAAACAGTTTGCATAATACTTAGATGGTTCGGAATCAACTCTTCAACCAATTTGAAAGGTTCTTTATTACGTCCGCTCCTTTTTATTTTATACATCACTGATCTCAAAACCTCTTCTGAAATCTTAGCATTTATTCATTTCGCGGATGACTCCAATTTATTTTGCTCTCACAAAAACCCCAAACACTTCTAAACACTTTAAACACCAAATTAAATTGTTTTTAAGTGGATCCAAGCAAATAAATTGTCGCTTAATATAAATAAAACATATTTCATGCTATTCAGTAATTCTGTATCATCCTTACCAGGTCTTATCAAAATCAATAACGTAACTATCAACCAGGTTGAATCCACCAAATTCTTAGGTCTCTATAGAGACAGTAAACTAACATGGAAAGTTCTCATCAATTGTTTATGTAATAAGCTGTTGTCACGGAACTCCGATGTAATGAATACGTTTTGTACCTCATTTTGTCCTTTTGTACCTCCTCATGTCATGCTTCTACTCTATTCTACCTTGATCTTGCCTTATCTTATCTCAATTATTGTATACTCGCATGGGGGAATACCTCTATAACCTTAATGGACAAAGTTAATGCTGGACAAAAACGGGCTATTAGAATAATAAATAATGTTGGTTTTATTGCCCATACAAATATGCTTTTCTATAATTTTAATATTCTTAAAATATCAGACTTGCACTTATGTAATATTGGAATATTTATATATGAACTATCGAAAGATGATTTACCAGATGCTTTCGTCTCTTTTTTTTTCAACGCAATAATACTATACATTCTTACCCTACTAGACTCGAACTCGCACCGTTTTTGCTAACAATACTATTATTTTTACTGGACCCTAATTCTGGAACAGCCTGAATAACGAACTAGTTGAAAGCCCCTCCATTAATTCATTTAAACGAAAGCTTAGGTGTTTCCTTTCGAGTAAGTATGTATAAAAGTAATGTTTATGTCGCGCTGGATCGTACAGGTGGTAATACCAGGGACATGATAGAGAAGGACTGGAATCAAGACAACCCCATGCTCCACGCCGCCGAAAAGTTATGCGCTAATCTGCAACTGTTGACCAGGTGGTGAGATAAAAGAGTGAATGAAATTTCAGGATTTTGAATTCCTACATCAGAAATGGTATCACAGCAACTGTTCGCTCTCCCTTTTAATGATTTCTCATCATTGTTAAATGTGACATGAGCAGAACAAACGAACTTGTGTAATTTCATCCTTTTTTCCAACTGCAAAAATACAGAAAACACGCGAAAACACGCGAAAACACGCATTAGCCAACTTATAGATATCGAAGATTGTATACCATGGGTTAAATAACGGGGCATTAAAACATGCATAAATTAGCGCATTATCCTAAAATATTGAGTTTTTGTCAGGGTCTAATTTTTCTTTTACCAACTCTGGCACACAAATTATAGGACGAGCGGAATACTAAATTGGAAAAATTGTTTGATGCACTATTCCCATTACATTCCCCATATAAAATTTATAATTTACATTGAAATTTTGCCGGTAATTTGATATGTTGTAATAAATGTGCAACTGGTGCATGGCCTCCGAAATTTCCCGCAGTGGAAGCGCGGTTCGGAGCATGGGACTTCAAAGCCAAGTGGAATGTTACACATCTCATTGTTACGCTTTAGAACTCACGAATGTGTTTGAATAAATTACAAGAGTTACCACTCCTTTCTTTCACCTCCCTGGTTATACAGACTTTGTATTTGTTATTTTACAATGCCATTGATTTCATCAACTTGCTTTCTCTTCTTCTTCTGCCTCTTCTTCTTCCAATTCTTTTTCGTCAGTCCTCTTCTTCTTCTTTCTTCCCTTCTTCACCTGCTCCTATACTTATCATTGTTATATTATTTTGTTTACTCTTTATTCTATTTTTCTTTTCTTCTCAAATTCACTCTCCTTTTACGTCTTTAGAATCTCATACTATACTACTCCGTTTTCGCCTCCAAATAATACCTTTTAAATTCAGACCTACTGTGTTACTCAGTGCGGGAGCCTATTGACATACAAGCTGTGCTTTTTATTTAGGCTCCCCACATTTTACATTGTTTTTACCTTGCCTGTTATCTACATATTTCGAAATTTCGTACTAATTTTCCTTACATTTTACTTGATTTGAAATCTTTAATTTGTTTTTGTTTTCTTGTATGAAATCTATTCTTATACGCCTGTACAGTGTGAGTCAAAAAAAAGTTTACACCTAGAAAATTGCTAATATTTTTTTAAATCATCAATGATCAGTAAATTATTATACATCTTATGAAACAGTGTTTTTATCCCAAATCATTTGTTATCATTTTTGTGTGGTATATGTTCACGCTTGGATGAACAGGAGGCATTGTTTGCGAAAGTGCAAAATCAACTTGCGCCAAAGTTGCTTAAGTGATATTTGAATTAAACAATGGGATTTGGGTATTAATTCGGTCTTTGCAGATCCAAATAACATCTCTAACAAAATTAATTATGCCACACATACCAAATATCAACGAACAATTGTGCGTGTGT